CAGTGCTAATCACTGAACCACCACGCTACCATAGTGTTTACAAGTTTACAGCACCATCTGAGGTACCTAGGTAGAGATTCTTAGGGAAAATAATTAGAAATGTAAAGAAATAAGAAGTGCAGCAATACATTAGAAAAAGAGAGAGTAAGAGTTCAGACCAACAGTCCTTCCGACGCAGACACAGGGCTTCACCTCGAGGCCAAGAGTGCTGGGAGTCAAATAAATAACTTGAGACTAATAAATATTTGTCTAAAAGGATGGAGATAGCCAGAAATAATTGTGAGAAAATATGTCAATAGGAAAACTCATGCTTGTTACAAGGAACTGAAAAGATACAATTTTTTTCCACTTTCCTGCATGTCTCAGAAACCAGGGCAATACGAAAATATCTGTGAATAAATTGAGGTGTTTGAATTATGGATGTCAAGATCTATTCTTAAAATTCCTAACAGGCTGTAAGATAAGTAAAGAGAAGTACTTCATATTGCAAGACCGGAAGGAATGCCAAAAATAGGGATGTCTAGAGAAACCAATGTCATTATTTTTGTCATTTGATCAGAGCTGAAAAACTACAGAGATCACTTCTGGATGGCAAAGTGGAGCACAGCAGAAAGAGGTCAGCCTAGGCATAGCTGGATGAAAGATGTGACAGAGCAGTTGCAGACGTGCAGTGGATGTGCGAGGATGGCAAAAGACAGATGCGCGTGGCAGATCATCACAGCAGATCTGGCAGGAGTAGCCACAAGCAGCAGCAGATAGAAGCAAGTTTATTAACCTAAGTGAAAACAGTTCAGCCTAAGATATTGCTGAATATATCCTCATACATTATGGAGATAGACTGTTGTATCATTCATTAAGGTCCCAGATACGCTATTGTTTTCACTATGGTCTGATCAGTCCACATTTCCAGCAACTTGGTAGGCAAAAAAGCATTAAGAACCTCATCACACAAGAATAGGTCTATTTCAGAGGCAGATCTATTGAAGTCTAGGTGAAGCTTTCTTATTCATGATGGGAATAAAAAATATTGTTTCACATATTTGGGCATGAATTCTATGATTATGGCTTAAAAAAGACATTTTGTCACAGTTTTTTGTTTTGCACTCATCAGTACAACTTGCAAAAGGTACCAATGTAAAGGGAAAACAGCATATTTATACCTTGAGAAGAAAGTACTGATTGTTTGACAAATGCACGGAGATATTGCCATGGAAAATGCACTTGTTAAAAGATGATTAAAGTTAACTGTCAAGCTTCAAATTTTAAACCAGACAGCATACTTATTTGTCAAACATTGCCCTGTGAAATGAATCAGAAAATGGCAGTTACCTGTTTCGTTCAGTTGAAAAAGGCACAGTGTGTGCACACGTGCTTTCTGTTCATAAAGAACAGTGTGATGCACTTGCACAGACAGAAACACACATATATTAATATGTGGAGCCCTGTTGTAGAATTAGGTTTGGTTAGATGATCAATCAACCTGAAGATATGGTACCGGTGTGAGATGACATTCTGGAGCATGGGAGCACAAGTTGAAATCCTGGAAAAGGGATGTAAAACTCCATTAAGGCATGGGTTAAGAATCAGCAACAGTGAATGAAAGATGGTAGGACAGGTAGGCACTAATAGGTAAAAGATGATGGGGTCAGGGGCATGATGTCAGTGCTTAGGATGAGAGCAGCAGGATTTTGCAATTATGGATACAGAATAAAGCAGGAAGTTGGGGGGAGGGGGGGGGGGGGAGGGCGGAGGGGGCACTCCTTCCGAAGTGTCACCAGAACATTAAAATCTGCATGCTGTTTCCTTTAGACAGCAAACACTGCTGTTTGAAATAAGCCCTACAACTTCACATGTGGTCATCTGTAGTACTAAAGAAGGGATTTCTGAGAGTAGTACACTTTGTTTTTAAAAACACTCAATGTGCTTAAGTATCAAACCGATCCACTCACAAAAGGAGTGAAGTTTTAACACCATATGATATGCAGATCCAGACTCAGACCAACCTCTCTCAGTCTTTTGCCATACTTTCTGTATGGCAATAATATTTCTGTTGAACCATCATGAACTTTTAATCGAGAATCGAAACCTAAATCAAACAAAATTTTAAAAAGGGTTTATGATTCAAGTTACCCCAAGAAACTTGCACTTAGGTACTGCTGTGAGCAAAAACAAGACAGGGCTCAAGATACTAAAATGGATCCAGCTCACCACAGTTTAAAGATGTGGGTTAGGATAACCAAACACTGAACCACCTCTCTTTGAAACAAAGCTGGATAACTCAAGCTAGGGAATGAAAAAGCAACAGATAATTTTGAGGCAGGGCGCTCAAGGATATCTGTTTCATCTCCTGCACTTTTACCATCTCCCTTCCAGAACATCAATACAGATCCTCATATCCTTACTTTCCACTCCACCAGACTCTAAGTAAAAAGACCATCATCTGTTGCTTCTTCCATCTCCAGCAGGATGCGACCACCAAGCACATCTCCTGTCCCCACTATCAGCATTCCACAGGAACCAGTCCCTTCACAACATTGATTCACTCCTCCATCACTCTTAACATTCCCTCACTCCCCCATGGCACCTTCCCATAAAATTGTTGGGCAAGTGCTATGTCTTCTTTCAGCTCCTCCTTCCTCACTGCCCAAAGTGCCAAGCACACCACCTAGGAGAAGCAACATTTTACTTGCAGTTTCAATCTAGCCAACTGTATTTGCTGTTCATAATGCAGTCTCCATTACATAGGCAAGACCAAATGCGGACTGGGTGATCACTTTGCGGAACACCTCTGCTCTGTCCATAGGAATGACCCTGACCTTCCAGTTGCTTGTCATTTCAATAATCTATTTTGTTCCCATGCTAACATTTCTGCCCTAGGGCTGCTGCAATATTCCAGCAAAGCCCAACTCAAGCTACAGGAACAATACCTCATTTTCCACTTAAGCACTTCACAGCCCTTAGGGCCCAATATTTAATTCCACAACTTCTGAGCATGACATTTATCTCCTACATTTTACTTTCGTACTCCTGACCGCTCCCTATATATACATACGTACATACACGCACGTCTTGTTTATGCCTTAACTTTGCTCTCAGCAAAGTGGACCAATTTTCTCCTTTTCGCACTTTCACTGAACCTTTTCTTGATCTGTATCATGTCTGCAGCACCATTAACAACTCCTAGAACTTTGTGGGAAGCTAAGGAAGAGATTGCTGGGTCCCTTGCAGAGATATTTGTACCATCAATAGCCATGGGTGAGGTCCCAGAAGACTAAGTTGGCTAATGGGGTGCCATTATTTAAGAAAGGTGGTAAGGAAAAGGCAGGGAACAATAGACTGGTGAGCCTGATGTCAGTGGTGGGCAAGTTGTTGGAGGCGATTCTGAGGGACAAGATTTACAGGCATTTAGAAAGGCAATGACTGATCAGAGATAGTCAATATGGCTTTGTATGTGGGAATCATGTCTCACTAACTTGAGTTTTTTGAAAAAGTCACAAGGCAGATTGATGAAGGACGTTGTCTATATGGACTTCAGCACAGCTTTCGACAAGGTTCTGCATGGTAGACTGGTTAGCAAGGTTAGGTCACATGGAATCCAGGAGGAAATTGGCTTGAACGTAGGAGATAGATGGTGGTGGTAGAAGGTTGCTTTTTAGACTGTGACCAGTGATAATGCTGGAAGGATCAGTGCTGGGTCCACTGCTTTTCATCATTTGAATAAATGATTTGGATGAGAATATAGGAGGTATGACTTGCAGATGACACCAAATTTGGTGGTGTAGTGGACAGTGAAGACAATTATCTCAGAGTACAATGGGACCTTGATCAGATGGGTCAATGGGCTGAGGAGCAGCAGATGGGATTTAATTTAGACAAATGTAAGGTGTTGCATTTTGGTAAGGCAAATCAGGGCAGGACTTATACAATTAATGTCAGGGACTTGGGGAGTATTGCCAAACTAGAGATGAAGATCCATAGTTTCTTGCAAGTGGAATCGTAGATAGACCAGGTGAGAATGCGTTTGGCATGTCTGTCTTCATTGGTCAGTGCGTTGAATATAGGAGTTGGGGGGGGGGTGTCATGTTGCGGCTGTACAGGACATTCATTAGGCCACTTTTGGAATACTGTGTTCAATTCTGGTCTCCCTGATGTAGGAAAGTTGTTGTTGAACTTGAAAGGGTTCAGAAAAAAATTTACAAGCATATTGCCAAGATTGGAGGATTTAAGCTGGCGGGAGAGGCTGAATAGGCTGGTGCTATTTTCCCTGAAATGTCAGAGGCTGAGGGGTGACCTTATAAAAGTTTAAAATCATGACAGCATAGATACAGTGAATAGCCAAAGTCTTTTTCCCAGGGTAGGGGTATCCAAAACTAGATGGCAGGTGAGAGGGGAAAGATTTAAAAGGGACCTGAGGAACTATCTTTTCATGCATGTATGGAATGAGCTGACAGAGGAAATGGTGGCGTGGATACAATTACAACATTTAAAAGACACCTGGTTGGGTACATGACTAGGAAGAGTTTAGAGGTATATGGGCCAAAGGCTGGCAAATGGGACTAGATCAACTTCAGATATCTGGTTGGCATGGAGAAGTTAGACCAAAGGGTTTCTGTGCTGTAAAACTCTATGATCGTCTGACTCTGTCTTTGACTCCGAGCACCTTCACAACATATTCCACTTCTCCCCCTCTGTCTACAGCCAAAAAAAAACTTCCTGCCCCTTGAAATTCTGAAGGCAGCGCATTGGACTTGAAAACATTAACTCTGTTGTTCTCTCCACAGATGATTTCAGACCTTCTGAGTTTCTCCACTACATTTCTGTTTGTGTGTCAGAGAAGTACATTGGCAGCAGCCTGACATAGCAGTTTTAGAGAGAGAGAAAAAAAAAGATAAAGAAAGAAATGTGTCCCAGGAAATACATACTCTGGATATTGTATTCAATGTCTGGCATAAAGAAACATAATCTTTAAACAAACATACTTTGGGAATGTAAATACTTACTGTAACTGGGGACATATTCCAGAACTTTCTACTGGGGTCATTGGTGTTACAGGAGTCATAGGTGTCATTGGTATTGGACAAACAGAAGGTGATTCATTGGTGATTGGGGTGGAAATTGTATTATTTGTTGAATGGTATGACTCCTCGCTATTATCTTCAGGTCCAAGTCCACCAGCAGCATGGGTACCCTGGATTTCTGACAGCACTTGGCTCTGCTGCACACTTGGCTCCTTACTTGTGTTTTCATCCTCATCATTGTCTTCTTGGTCATCACTGAGGAAACTAAGATCTGCTGAAGTCAGCTCAGTTGTAGATTCTTTGGGTTGACAAAGTGGAGGGTAACAAGGCTCATCAATTTTTAAATCAGAATCATAGGGAATCATAGAATTGTAGATTTGGGAATCACTTGAGAGATCATCCTGAAAATTAAAGTATATTTAGGTCACATTTCACACAATCCAAAACAGTTTTTAAAAAGATCACAGTCCCACATCCTCAGCCAAGACCTTTCATCAGGTCCTGACATGCTCCCAATCTCCAATGATCTGCATATGGAAGCCTTGAGTCTTTGAACTTGAACAAATGGTCAACAGACAATGAAACATTTTTAAAATTTATCCCTATCTACCAAGTACAAAAGGATGACCTGTGAACTCTCCTGATCACTACACTGGTTCAGAGCATGTTGCTGCACAAGACTGATCTAGAGGATTCCAGACGTGTTACCCCAGTTTGCAGTGAACTGTCGATCTCAACTAGTAAGGGGTGGTAGATGTAACAGAATTTTTAATAAGCACACAAGGCTGACGAAAGGATAAATTTACTATAGATCAACACTATGGTTTGGCTCTTGGGAATTGCACCATCTTCCATTAAATAGTCTTCTGAGACTCAGAAGTTTCACAAATAAGTAGATATTTGATTAAACTACTAGCATGTGACAGAAATCCCAATAAAGAATCAACATGAACTTTTCAACAGAACACACAATTGAAACGTTAACAGTTTATTTTTCAAAAAACATGCTGCAGATCAGAACATTTCCAATTCTTATTTCAGCATCTGCATTACTTCGCTTTTGTACAAGGGAAGGATTCTACACTGTTGCATTGTGGGAAGTTGACAGAGAAAATATGCCTCTTTTGTACTATTCAGTTGGTGCAGATACTGTTTAGGACAAAAGGATCATCATTTCACATGATAGATTCTAACAAACAGCAATGAGATGAAAGATAATTTTTACTGATGTTAAGGGGAAGGAGGTTTTGTGGAAAAAGAATAGCATCCTTACCTCTGAGTCAGAGGTTGTTCGTTCAGGTCCCACTCCAAGACTTGGTGGTTAGGGTGTGCTCATAACACAGCCAGGTATCAATAAGGGGAGTATCATCTTGCAAATCCTTCCAAGATACACCAATGTCAGACAGTAAGAGCAGGAAAAAGATTGTGATGGAAGGAAATTGGAGCCTCTACCATCACAATCCCAGCTCTGGTCTCAAAAATGCAAATAAATGCACGTGGCCACAGCTGAGCCAGTAACACCCACATCCCATGAACGAATAAAAACAAATTAATTCCATTAATGAATCTCTATTTAGAGATTATTCTTTATACAAGAAGCAGTCTGTTTTGTGCTTAGTTGTACAGTGTGCTACAGTACATTTTACATAAATAGTGGGAATAATAATCAACCTTCAAAGAGCTGCATGGGAAGAATTTTTTTTTTAAGAAGTGAAATTCACAGATCCACCAATTTCAGAACCAGATGCAGATGGTGTTTGAGAATACAGCGCCAGCCAATATGCCAATTCTTACCTCTATTTCTGAAAATTTTGACTGAGACAGGTTCGGTGCCAGGCAGAGATGCCCAACCTGACAAGGTGAGCAGCCATCAAGGTTCACTAAGAGTCCTAGATTGAGACAGGTTAGGATTTCCCAGTCACCCTCCAGTTTCTTGATGTGATGGGGGAGTTTCTTTGCCCAAGGCTGACATTCAGCAGAAGGCTACAGCGCCTCTACACCAAGCAGGCCTTTCAGTCATTAGGACTGCCCGTTATACTGCAGGTGCGGTTAAAGGTTGCTCCTGTGAAGTAGTCCTCTTCCACCCAACTATCCAGTGGTGGCCTAGCTCTTTTTCCTAAAAATTAATTTACTTAAAAAATGATCTGATGTCATGTTGAAGCACCCTATCAATTACATACCCTTTTACCCGCTGCTCCTCAAAATAGTCTCTCCAATTAGCCCTCTAGCTTCAAGAGCCTGTCGTCATTAAATACAAAATCAAAAGTTGATGCCAGTTAGAAGGGCAACACTGAAAGTTCCAGTTCAGTGACTGAATCCCCCCCCCATCCCCTGAGAAAAGTTCCAATTTATTTTTCTATCCTCAAAGTAAAACTCTGAAGTTACAGCTCACCACCACCTTCTCAAATTAGGAACAGGAAACAAATTCTGATGTTGCCAGCAACATTCAAACCCCACACAAAAAAGAAGTAAGATATGCTTCGACTGAAAGGGTAGAGCTCAATGAGAAGAACAGTATTCAAATACAGGGAATTGAGACAAAGAATGCATGCTTGTGTTCAGATGCCAGTGGATTATGGCCTCCATATAGGCTAGTCATACATTTATGTTCAGGATTATCAGTTGTGAAAAAATGATTTCAAAATGTTAGTACTCAGATACCTGTTTCGAAGTAGACATGGTATCTGAAAAATTATCATGAAGTTGCCCAGTTTTCTAATACAGAAACATGCAGAGACAAATTCTGATCACAGGATTTAAAATTGTTCCTATCAGAACAGCACAATACAATGCCAGGTTTAGAAGGTGTGATATGGTACATAAAAACAGACTGTTCTTGGTTGTTAAGCATCAAACACAGACCAAAGTTAAGATGAGTACATGCAAAAGACTTAAGACAGAAAGCTGGGAGTAACTTCATTATCTAAGTAGTTACATGGCTATAGAATTCACTTTTGAGGACCTTAGTTGAAAACAGAAACAACGTCAACATTCAAGATTAGATCAGAAACCTGGATGAAGAATGAGTGGATGGGAGTTTTGAGTAGTGATTAAGCAAGATTTAAATGGGTTTTCTTATGATGGTGGATAAATACTAAGGTGGCCTATCTCAATACTGAAATTTCTCACTGATTCAGTGAGCAGAGAAGGCTTCCCTTTAAGTTTTTCACAGCTGAAAACGAGTTTGCAAATACATTGAATATGACAAGAGTAATGTGTGTTAGTTGTTACCGATCACTCGGGTGAATTTCACAATACTATCGACATCAGGGCTCTCTGAAGTCATTGGAAAGGAAGCCTTCATCCGTTCCAGTACTGGACTGTGTTTATTTTTTGAAAAAACATCTCAAATGATTCTCACAGACTGAACAATATTGAAGAAGCTTAGCACACAGTACCAATGACATACCAGATATCTTTATGCCTACTTAGGCCTGCTAGATTTCTTCCTGTGCTAGAACCAATTTAGTTGCAAAGATTTGAAAGGCATGGGAAAGTTTTCCAAAATAAGAACATCCTTCCGCACTGTAACATTTCATAAATCCGATGGCAGAGCCCAGTACGCACTAAATTGAGTAAATTTTTATTTTAAAAGCGAATCAATCTTGACAAAAAATAATGACTTAGCTATTCCAATCACAGTCCAATTGCCACTCTGCATCTATGTTTTTTTCGCCAATAGTAGTGCATTCCGTATTTCTAGTTGGGAATTCTGATCCTGGTTTCTTCACAAAAACAAAGCAGAACTGAAATCAACACAGTTCCCGGGAATACAGAATAGTCAGGGCAAGTTAAACCACATCCTCTCTGCAGCGATGTGTTGCGTTATGACATTTAAAAATGCCCAGCAGCAAAGCCAGGTACTTGGACAGCTGCAGTGAATTTTTTTATGGGGGTGGGGGGAGGGTGGAGGTGTTGGTAGGCAAACTAAGTGTAGGGTTAGAATGAGGTTACTTAAGGAGTTAACATATTGGATAGATAGATTGCCAGCTAAATTATAGAGTGCTTAAGGTAAGTGTTGGGGGAAAGGGGTGGTGGGGCATTATAGGGCCAGTAGTAAAAGGGAGATGATGCTGGGGCCAGTGGTTGACTGCTCCAACAACTCCCTGGCCATCAATATATCTAATGAAGCAATACCACTGTTCCAGTTGAAGACAACGTCATAGGGTTAGTGCAAAGGACATACTAATCACAGTATACAAAGAGATTTGAATTGAGATATATTGCACATATCAACACAGGCTGCTCAGGTTTAAAAAAATTTAATGACAAGTGTTAAAGACAACAGGGAGAGGTGAATTGAATTTTGTTTTCTGTTTCCCTCCTCTGTCCACAATGAAGGTTTTTTTTTAATTTTCTTCTGCCTTTTAAAAAAAATATAATAGGCAGTGGTATACTTCCTCAAACCCTGTTTGTAAAGTCCAATTCAAAGTGACTCACAGGAAATTCTTCAGGGTCAGACAAGGCTAGGTTTACTGTTGCATTCAAAACCCACGAGAATGGTTTGAAACTCATGTTCACACACCTCCAAAAGAAAAAAAGAAAAGTGGAAATGACAGGAGTCACAAATTACTTAAAATTAAAAATTTAGGAATTAGCTCACATCATCATGAGTCCAGTAAACCACCTTTTAGTTGACAGTGCACACAAGTCCATTTCACAGGACAAATGTGATTGTACACCTGAAACAGTTTTAGGCTTCTTATTTAAGCAAATACTTATACTAGCATTGGAGGCAGTGCAGAGAAGGTTCACTAAGCTGATTCTGATATGGAAGGATATTCCTATGTGGAGAGGTTGAGCAGTTTGACAGTATACTCATTAGAGTTTAGAATATTGACAGGAGACCTTACGAAAATATACAAGAATCTTCAGCAGCTTGACAACGTCGATGAAGAATGATTGTTTCCCCTCTGGGAGCATCTAGGGCCAAGGGCACAATCTTAGAACGAAGGGATCACCCATTTAAGACAGAAATTAAGATGATTTTTTTCTCCCCAGAGGGAAGTGAATCTGTTGAATTCTTTACCACAGAAGGCGGTATTAGCGGTGTTGTTAATGCTGAGATAAATCGATTTTTAATCAGTAAGGGAATCATCGAGGGATGTGGGAAAAAGGCAGGAAAATGGAGTTGAGGATAATCAGATCAGCCATGATCCCAACAAATGTCATAGCAGATATGATGGGCTGAATGCCTATTTCCGCTTCTTTATCTTATAGTCTTCTGGAATTACTTAAGGTGCAGTAGTTAACTGGGCATTGGTTCATTTTGCAAATACAGAATTCTTTCCAGAAAGTGAGACATTTGTGATAGAACAAGATTAGATGTTAACTGAGCCTGGAGCTATTTACTCTCCTGGTGTTGAGTAAAGAAGTCAAAAACTGTAAAATTAAAAAAGGT